AACAGTAACAGCCCTCCCCTCAATCCCATTGGTTCAACAATAGCACAGTGATCTTGGAAACCCAATTTCTTGGCCACAGCCTTAACAAAATGTTTATTGTTTTTTGTTTCCGAAAAAAATAAAAAGCTTGGGTGGTGAGTCCTGATAGACTCTCGGATTTGGGAAACCGTAGAGGGCCCCCCCAGCCCTCTACAATTCCACGCCCCAGCCTTCATTTATCACTCGGGTGCCACTCAAGGCTGGCAACCTCCACCTCAATATCATTGGACTTCAACTTCTTCCTCTCCTGTGAATCTTCCTCTTGATCACTTTTCTCTTCCATAGCTTCACAAAGATTAGTCTTGTTATCTGGATATACTTCCAGTGCCAATCTATTTCTCTTGCCACTTACTGGAATAAAATTCTGAGTATAGGGAGAGTCGAGTCTCTGCAGTCTCCCCTCTCGATTGGCTGGTCTTCTCCACGTTTTAGATATGTGCTTCTGAACTCCTGAACATCCAGCTATAGCTCTATTGAAATTCCCAGACTCGAGCTCCACCTCCATATTCCTGTTGATGCAGTCTTCTTCACAAACAATCATCTTTAGTGGATTTAAGGCAATGGAATTATCTGGATCATCTGGTGCTGTGGTGATGATAGGTCCAACAACATGATTGGTCCCATCGCTGGGATTCGCCGCAAGATTTTCTTTCGCCACAATTATCTGGTTATTGTCTTCAACATGACTAGTGGATGTGGGCAGAGGGTTGCTTTGAGTCCCAACATGGGGGGAATCTGTTTGGGGTGTGCTTCTTGAGCTGGAGTTGCCAAAAGATGCCCAACTATTAAACTCAGGGGCTCGCATCCAGTCGCCGAACTGGCCTTCTTTAAGGAGATTATTATTGATATCTTGCTGCCTAATCAAGCATCCTCTCTCCAAGTGCCCAATATGGCCACAGTAGTGGCAATGGTTAACTAACCTCTCGTATTTGAAACCTCCTTTTACTTCCCTGTTATCCAACCTAATGTTAGCACATCTCGGCAAGGCCTCCGTTAAATCCACTGTAACCAATAGCCTCATAATTCGCCCTCCATGACTGCCTGCTCCGACTACCACAACGTTGTTTACTTTTTTGAAAACCCTTCCAATCTTCATCCCCACCTCCGTGCACAACCAATTCAACGGGATATTGAAAACTTGAACCCAGATTTTGAGCTCTGAGAAAACTGGATGATTTATAGAAAGACCCTCCTGCCATTCTGCCAAAATTAGGTATTGATTATCAAATATCCAATTTGTACCTTTGGCCACTCGCAGCAGGTCTTCTCGCTTAAGGAAAATGAACTGGAAGAAATTAGGACCCAGCTCCTTTACTTCCATGGATTGTTGAATGCGCCAAATATTACTCATAGACCGTTTAATGCCGGCCCAGCTTGCACGTCTGTCGCCAATAATTTTACCAAACAGACTTCGATTGCACTCCTCATCGCCAATCTTAATATCACCTCTAGCAATGTCTATGAAATTGTGCTCTCGATCTGATAATGACACTTCCTCCAATATCTTGGCTAGCTCGTCGTCTTGCCCAATGCATTGGGAAGATTCCATCTCTCGCACCCCAAAACCCTAGCCCCCTCTCTCAGCGAAAACAGGAAATCAAAACCAAAGCGAAGCACTTTTAACGAATCTTAGAAGATTAAATCCGAGAAATGGTAGAAACCAGCTGCGATCCAAGGAGTACGCTCTCCACGAGAGAATTGGTACGCTCTCCACGAGAGAATTGTTGCAAATTGTGTGTCAATTCCAACTAGAAATTTATGGACTGAATAATCCATAAATTTTCACGAGACAGTGCAAAAAATAGTTCGAATAAATTTTTTACCATATCGCACAAAATACTTATATTAACAATT